CTCCTGTGTCTGTCTGTCTGTCTGTCTGTCTGTCTGTCTCTCTCTCTCTCTCTCTCTCTCTCTCTCTCTCTCACACACACACACACACACACACACACACACACTCTTTTCCGTTGTCTTTCTCTTCCTCCCTGTATCTCCCCCTCATTGCAGGGTTGAGGTCACTGTGCATCTGCACACCCTCTCTCAAATGTGAAGGACACTGACATTTCACACCTGATCTTAGGTTATCTGCCCCCAGGAAAATTGAGACTACCATGTAAATGTTAAGATAGAGGTTTTTAATTTTCTGAAATTTCTTGGAAATTTGAAAATGCTGTATTTGACCTGATTTTTCCATTCTTTAAAATTCCTGTTTTCCAAGTGCCTACTAAGAAATAGACTATGATTTCTACAGAAACTTTACAGCTATTATAATTGCTAATTTAAATATGATTTAATTTTCTACCTAAGAATAAATTCTGTATTGTTTGCTAATTTCTTTGCAATTTGGCTCTTAGCAAGCTTGACAAAACCCAGACGTCTCTGTGCCTCTGCGGTACTTAGCACCACAGCGGTGTGTTAATCAGCAATGGCAGCTTCACTTCAACTTTAAAAAGTTCCAGCTGTCTACACCCAAAAACCTGAAGTGGAAATCACAGAAAGCAGGTAATTCGCACTGCAGTTTGAATGACAGAGAGAGTGTCTGACTGCATACCTATGAGACAGTTGTTTGTATCTGGGGATGGGGCCTTCTCTCCCAAGTGGAACTGCAACATCCACTAATTGTTCATTATAAATTTCTTGTGAGATGACATCTGCCAGGCTATAAAGCGTCCAGTAGTCTCTGATCAGATGCAATGCTTGTGACATAAGCACTATGAAGCGACAGTTCTGTAGTTGAAAGAAAAGAATTTTGGATTTTTTTGTTTTCTCCTATCCAAAGTAGGCTCTTTTGCTAGTTTCAGAATCGTGGTACTTAAGAGTTGTGCTTTTCTGTTTCCAAAATGGATGAGCTGTTTTTCATAGCAAAATCCATGTAAATAAAAAAGCAACTAAAAATATAACCCAGTCAAACAAAAAGGCTGTCACATTAACCAGCTGAAAAGCATATTCTGTTAAGAAAGACTACATTTTCTCATTTCTAGTAATACCTTAAGCATAAGCAACCGAAAATACTTTACTAAAAGAAAGTAGTAAACACTGTGTGCGCAGCTATTTATATACACGCTCTCAGAGAATGCAGCGATACCAACGTCACTTGTGTCTCTTCCCTGTCACCATTCTCCAAAAGAGCACGGCCATCTGGGTACGGTGGCGCACACCTCCAGCCCCGGCACTATGGACACTGAGCCAGGAGGATTACAAGTTAGAGTTCAGCCTGGACAACTTAGTGACTCAACTAGACCCTGTCTCAAATGTTTTCTAAGAAGGGGTGGGGATGTAGCTTAGTGGAAAAGCCTTGGGTTCAAGCCCCAGTACTGCAAAAATTAAATAAACAAATATTTCTCTTCTACTATGAAAAAATAAAGGAAGTACTTTTACCTCCTAATTTCCCCCATTTTTTCATATGTTTCATTGTTTAAATAGATTAAAAATTCTATAATACATTGATTGGTGTTTTGTTCATTTAATACTGAGTTAGCTATAAAATACAAATATAGTGTTCTTATATTTCAAAACAGCAGCTCAAATCACATGGTAATTTAGAGACATATCTGACAAATAATTTTACATTCTAAATTTTATGATGTGGTTTACATTTTATAATTGTCTTGAAGAACTGAATCAAAAAGCACAATAGAAACTACCATCACAAGTTTAATATATTTTAAAATACAGAAATATATTTAAACAGAACATTTAAAGAATAATATTATAGACTTCCATTTCTTATTCTTGCTATAGGACACTATTAATTGAAAATATATTACTTAATGTATAACCAATATAGTTAATGACATATTTTCTATAAGATAAACTGTATTTTAAAACATTATTGTAATATACCTGAATTACAAACAATTATGCTTTTGAATCAATCACTGTTGCAAATTTTGTTTGAATAATTCAAAGGGGCAATTGTTGAATGATACTTTCTGAATATTTTGGATGAACTTTAAGTAAGTTTCACCATGGAATTACCATAAGTAGTAATTGATCAACACAAAGGTCAGGCCTCAAAAAGTTGGTGTATGTCAATGTAAGACCCTAGAAGGCATTTCAGGAGAGCTTTATTTTTTGTTTTTTGTGCTGAGGACTGAACCCAGGGCTTCCAGCTTGCTAGGTAAGCATTCTACCACCGAGCCAATCCTGAGCCTCTAGAAGATTTTCAATAGAGAGAAAATAAAATAACTTCTGAGGCAAGAACACTTATGCACACATCACAAGAGGACCTCCCCTTTGGAGTCTTGGTGCTTGGAGGGAGGTTTGCAAAGTCTCTTCACAAAATGCGGTTTTCATTGAGTTCACTCTCACAGGTACAAAAACGGATCTCAGCCATTCTCTTTAAATGGCAGCTTTGTCCAAGCCAGTCTGGGGTTTTGGTAATTTCCTTCAGCTTGGTTTCAGTAATTTTACCCCCAGTAAGATCCCTTGTAGCACATCGACCAACAAGTTCGGTTATAAAAGAGAGCAGAGAAGCCGGCCGGGTCTGCGTCCCCGCTCCGGCGCGCTGCGCTGCAGGCACGCGGGGACCTTGCCATGGAGGGAGCGCTCGGACAGGTTTCTTCACCTTAGAGGAAGGTTTTGGATCTGAAAAAACATCTGCAGCAGTAGTGTTCTAGATAATGCAGATATGCGTGATTTATTTGAGGTAAGAAGGTTGTACTACAATTTTTTAGGGTTAATTCGAAAAGTAATGGACACAGCTAAGCCCATCTCCACAGAATTCTTGCAGCTTTGAGCTCCTTGTAAAATCCTGAGTCCACAAGCCAAGAAGGAATATACTCCTGCAGTCCCACTAACTCTTTTAAGTAAAGTTACAACAATGAAGGGCAGTCTCAGCTTCTATGTGCTGCATACCATTTAGTTATTCAAATCCAGTTCAACGGTTTACTTTATCTAATGAAGCAGAAAGTCTGAGAGAAAAATTGTGTTTATTCAAGCCTATTTTTTGGTTATTTTTTTAAATTTTATTTCTAAATAAATATCCTATTATGGTTTTCATTGGCACAATATAAGAAAATGTAGGGGCCAGGGAGATGGCTCAGTGGAATAAGCGCTTCCCTGGCAAGCGCAAGGGCCTGAGTTCAATCCCCGGTTCTGAAAAAAAAAAAAAAAAAAAGGAAAGAAAGAAAGAAAGAAAATGTATTCAGTTTCCTTCAACAATATTAAACAGTCAAAAAAGTTCTGTTTAGTCTCACAAAATTACATAAAAATTATATTTGAAAAACGTTGAAGCAATAAAATTAGACTCAGTGTATCCCACTAAACGTTAGACTCATGATCTATTTTATAACAGTGAACTAAAAACAGATCTTACTGGTAAGGCATCTGTAAAAGGAAGATACATACTTTCAAATAAATAAAAATGACCATATACATGCTATACATATGAAGATAAAATAATTCAGACTAATTTTGGAAATCACCCTTTAGACTGCTCTTTATTGTAGTCATAAATCTTAACATGAGTCCTTTGGTTATTATTGTAATTATTTAATATTAGTGGCAGCCACATGAGCGAACGACCATGTTTCTATATTTTTTCAAAATGACATTGGAGCTATCGTCAAAGTACAGGACAGAAATTGCATTTAATTTGGTTGGCGCACAGCAAGGCTTTGGCACATGGTCAGGAAACATCAGATGGACCTAGAAAAGAAAGAAATCAAGGTCTTTTTAGGAAATAGGTACATGAACATTTTGTTTAGACCTTTAAAATAATTTTCTGGCTGCATGTCACACTCCAGCAGGCAAATCTTCAGTCTGTCGGCCACGCTCCTTCAAGGTTGCGTGACTGGGCTGCGCTGACACCCATCAGAAGGACGTACTCTTGTGTAACACCACCAATAGCCAACCCACTGGTTCTAATTGTGTGGTGGCTTATTTGAGTTAGTAGAAGTTGTGCGTCAAGTAGGAAAGAGCACTGAGGGTCATTCGGTGGAAAGGTCCCTGGGGAAAGGACACAGAGACCGGCAGGTTGCTTTTACTTGAAATGTGACCATTTTCATTTACATGGTGAACTATGAGAACTATAACTGAGTCAAAAGTCATAGTAGGATCATAGAACGATTTGGATCTATGGATTATTTTTAGAAGGATAATCAAGTGGCAGATATCAATGTTACACCAACTTTTAATTTTCCACAGTGCAGGAATCATAATAAAATAAAATGCAAACCAAATCCACTGCTTCTTCTAAACCAATGATTTCAAGTCTTATCTACAATGTTTTTATTTTATTTTTCTTTTTTAACTAGAGGGCTTGAAGTTGAGGATCACCTCACATTCCCTCTTCTCTGCCCACTGCCTGGGTGAGCGGCCAGAAGCAAGTTTAACTAATTCAGAAGCAAAGGAACCAGATTTTATACACTGACTATCCAGGCTCCGGGCAGCCTAAAAACGTGATTACACCTCGAAGGCGAAATGCCGCAACACGAGCGCGGATGCTCACTGCGGTCAGCCCGGCGCACTGCCCTGGCGCAGGGTCAGCGTGGGGCCAGAGGGGGCTCTTCCTTTCCCTGCTACGTACTCTGGCCCCACCAGGAGTTTATGGGAAATCCCACTGATGGCTCTTAAGGGAGCTACAGATGGCAAATACAGCCTCTTAGCAGTTTGGCTGCAGTGTTCTGGCTGAAATGATAGAGGAGCCAGCCTTGCATGTGGACAAAAAAAAAAAAAAAAAAAAAAAAAAAATATTCCACTTTTTTCTTGAAAGGAGCGGGAGGGGGAGGCTGAAACTTCAGGGATCGGAAGAGCACACGTCTGAACTCCAGTCACGCCGCAAAAAAAAATATGCCGTAAAAAAAAAAAAAAAAAAAAAAAAAACAGAAATCAAAAAATAACAAGACAGTTGGGCAACCTGACATGAGCCTGGAGTTTCCTAGATCGCACAAAACTAAAAACTGAATGATTTCTACAGCACTCCGATGCGGCCTGCGTTCCTCCTCAGCCTTATCTTCCATGACCATGCACAAGATTGACAATCCCAAAGTTCCTATGGCCTCGGCAGCCTCTCGATGCAGTTGCTCTGAGAAAACGGATTGTCCTTGAATGATTTCTCAAACATATTAGTCACAAATGTGCTTTCCTCTAACAGTAAACATGCCTATCTTCTTGTTTCATGTCCTTCATGGGACAAATGTGGAGCATACACAGCACAGGAAAAAAATCAAACTTCCCGTGTTTGCTTGAGTTTTGCAATGACTTATGTCCTCTGTCTCAGGGTGGACACAGAGCAAGGTTTGCTTCCAAGTTCATGTCAAACTTTTAAAATGTTTGTGTTTCGATGCTCCCATGTAGAGTGCAGCCCTAAGAGCTGACAGTATGCAATCACATATTTGTTAGAAAAAAGGAAAAATACGTGAAAGGAGGATATTTGACAAATGAATTTGCCAATATATAAGCGCTGCTTGTCCTGGGGGGTCCTTTGATATTTTAGATGTAGGTCTATGGAAATGAAATTCTGCATTCTAAGTCACTGGAACAAAAATAGGCAAAACATTTTCAGAGAAATTAAGTGACACTATTTTCTAAGCTAGTAAGAGCTGTTGCTCTGTGACCATGCAGCAAGATAGGCTCAGAACGGCCCTGCAGCAGCTGAAAGAGCAGCCTTCCTGGTTGTCTCAGCATGGAAGTGTGCAGGGGGAACCCCACATCAAGATGTGTTTATATTTGCACACAGCAAAACCGAAGGCAGTGCAGGCTTCAAAACCCACCTCGGAGTCTCTACTGAGGTGGAAAGTGCTAAATTAGCACAGGACAGAAACGACTGCACATATTTGCTTTATCCTTCTATTTTTCCCTATCTCAAAGTTATTTCCAATTTTTTTTAAATTTTAAAATGTTTTAATTATCATATGAAATTTGTGCTCATTTCTTCTGTAGAATCTTACAAAGTTAATAAGTATAGTAAAATGTCAAGTCACTCAATTATTTAATGTATATCAAATTAATTTAAAATTTAAACAGGTAAAAAAGTATGCTAGTGTTTTTCAGAATAAATAAATCCTTTTTCCATGTGTTTAAATTTTAAATTAATTGTGAGTGAAAAGAGCAGCCTTCTGTAGAATGAAGATTTCACAAATCCGAAGCGTACTATAGCTACGCGGGTGAGGGGTCACACCGGGGCAAGCTTCGCTCATCCTGCACACCCGTGTTACGTCAGGCTTGTGTCTGTGGAAGCAAAGTCCTCACGAGCTGCAGCCAAAGGCCACTTTTCCTCACATGCGCTGCTCTTTCGGCCCACCACCAAGCTATTACATTTCCATCACTAAGTTTCAGCTCTAAAATAGCATACTTCCTTTTCTCCCTCAATACATGAGAATAAACTTGTCCTAGTAACTCATAATTGTAGGTGGAATTGTGCCACATAGCCTCTTGCACCTCCTACACGCCTCTTCCTTAGTCTGCAGGGGACTGTCCCTCCATCACATCAGCGTGTCACCTGCCACAGATACAACAGACCCTCAAAGTGCCTTCTTCACTAGATAGATTATAGGCAGAGATCATGAAATCGACATTTCAACACTTTGCCCACAAAACTTTGCCAACTATACTAGAGATTTAATCACTTCTTAACTCCTACGAGTAGAGAAAGGAAACAGAATGTCCTTGCTGGAGATTACAGAAAGAAAGGGAAAGAGGAGAGGGTAGGAATAGGAGTGAAGGAAGGGAAGCCACCATCACACAGAAAATAACCTCCTACTACAGCGCACTGCACAATGTTCATAACGCCAAAGCTTTCTTAATTAGAGCAAAACGAAATGATGAAATTGTTAATCAGGTGAAATTCAGTGCAGATCGTACTGCATACTTCTGCAATGATTACTAACAAATCACTTGGCTAGGGTAGCCCTTGGGTCGGGTGCAGGCACAGTGCAGAGCAACCACTTGGCGAGATCGCGCCAGTCCTCCTCCTGAACCCTCCCTGCTCCGGACTCAGGGCCTCTCTTCCAGCTCCTCTGGGCTTCATGACCATCCCCACTGTCATTACTGTGGCTCTAAAAATAGCCAGCAGCTTGAGAAGAAAAGACAGTGCATTGACAGTTGCTGTAAATGGGTGCTTTTCTGTAAAACTGGACCGTACAGTACTTGCATCATAAACCATTTTCAAGTTCACAAAAACAGTGCCTACCAGGGTTTGAACAATGGCATGGTTGGTGGCGTTCATGTGAGCATTCAGTGGAAAAGAACATTCTCCATCACAATAAAATGCAGCATATCCTTCTGGTGCTATAATCCAGTCCTAAAACACATGAGAAGAAGAAAAAAGAAAAAAACATCTACATGAAAATAAAAACCATTCTTAAGGGATACTCAAACATACCTCATCTGAATAAGTATTGCATGGTCCAACAATTATTCTAATAGGGTAGACCTTCCACAGTCTGTAATATTAAGTTGAACTTTACAGCAACATGTAACTATGTTCACAAGAATAGTCTTCTCTAACTTTTCTCAAGAGGCTAAGTAAGATTTGTGGTATATACTAATGCAGCTATGTGTAATAAACTATAGTCGTGAAATAAAATCCTAAGTGTTACTCAAAAGGAAATACTGAAGTCTAGAAAGCTCAAGTGCACGAGAATAGGCGAGGCTCATCCACGTAATTGAGGGCACTCTCATTACCTCTTAGTAACTCGTTGTTACTTTAGAAATCTGACAGTCTCTAACAGCTTTAACATTTGTTCTGTGTGCTGTTTTCCTTTCCTTTTCTTTTCTTTTCCATAATTTTATTGATAAACAAATAGTGATGAGACAGTTTCAAACCAAACTGGTAGGACAGTTTCAATAATTAACACATTGCATACATTCATCCTAGTGGTTATTTTCTGTACAAGATGCGGACATGATATCCTATTTACAAACACCATTAGAACAAATCCCTCAATTCATTAAGAGAATGTAACTATATACCTATCCTAACCAGTTTGCATACACAGGTACAAAATGGACATTCATCTGTATCCCCTTTTTGTGTGGGGGCCTGCCCGGCAGCTCAGTTCTTTAACTGGCTGCTTCAGTAAAGCAGTCAGGCTCAGGTTGCTGTCGTTGGATCGCTAGGACTCAAACCTGCCCTGAAGGCATTCGGAGGCAGCCAAGGGAAAAAATAAACCGTTTTCCTTTTCATTCTTCTATTATTATATTCTATGTAGGAGAAATGAATTGGGGCAAATTCCAGAAAACACCACATGTAAATTTTAGGAAACTGCAAATTGTTACATGTATGATTGCCAGGTTTTTCCTCCACAGAGAAATAAAATTGATGAGTATAAGAATTATTTCCTTATTTCTAATAAAATGTATTCAGTATTTTAAAGATATGTACATTTCATATTTCTCAGTAAAGTAGCTCAAACCTTGAATATCCATTGTAATAGAATACTATAAAGAATCTAAAAATTTCCTTTTTAAATGGTCCTCACATAGAGCCACTAAAAACTGTTGTGATTAAACATTCCTGCTCACCTTACTTGTGACATATATTTATGTGAGATAATATTTTGTATATTTATCTCATGAAAAATACATTTGTGTTGACAGCTCCTTTTTTCTAGAAAAAAGCCCCTTTGGAGGCTACTGGACTTGCTTGTATTAAACCGAAAACTGCCCATACTTGTAATAAATCTATATTTATAATGAAATTAAAAGTTTGTCATATTTAAACAATAGCATGTTTTTTTTTAACAATAGCATGTTTTTATTTTACTTCCTAGAAACGTTTTATTTCTCCTTCCTAATTATGGTTCACTCGTAAAAAGGATAGTAAAGAAATGAAAATGATGTGAATACGCCACATACTGAGCACACACTCAAAACTATTGCACTCGAAAAATTACAGCAAAACGTGTGGGCTAGTAAGGGCTCGCGGCAGCGC